TATATTAAAATATTTGTATTATAAAAACATATATGTATTAATTACCCAATTTTTTTTATAATTTTGAACATCGTCATTAGTTGTATATATTCGATATTCAATTTCTATAATATAAAATAAAAAATTATTTATATATAAGCTTATTTAAATGTCTATATAATCATATTTATTATAATTATTATTAATAACATTTAAGTTACCAGGTTTTGATATATTCATATAAAATCTTTCTACAGAAATTACATTTCTAAATAATGGTAATAAAAATTCATCAGTTTTAATATTTAGATCCTTATATATCGTATATAATTTCCAATTTGATCTTGTTATTTCTTCATATTGTACATCCACTGTGTTTATGTTTAAGTTTATATTACAACATTTTCGACATAAATTTATCCATATATACAATAATAACATAGATTGTAATTCATCTAAAAAATTTATAAAAATATATTTTTTTTAAATAGTGTTTCAAATTATTAATATTTAAATAATTTTCTTACCGTCTAAACATGTACATAATGCAGCAGAAATTAAATTCTGAATTGTAATTGTAACATCTGCATTTATTTTAATGTGCTGCATTATTAATAAGCATATTTTATATGCATAATAGCATTCATTTGTCATTATATTTAATTGTCCTTTTTCACATCTAAATAAAAATATAAGTTTTAGTTAAAAATAATATTATTGTTTTTTTTCCATAAAGAAATAAAATTCATTTACCTAATAAAATAATTTAATACTTTTACATTTTTTGACCATTCAATTAATATATATATTGCATGAATTCTTTGTATTTTAAGTAAATCTGCAGCTTGAATAAGTTTTTTATAAATAATAAATAAATTATTATCTTTTTCCATGTCTACTGTAAATTTATCATCATATAAATTATTTTAAAATTTATTATTATAAAAATTAAAACTTTAATTATTTAATATTTAAATAAAAAAATATTTTATACCATCACACAATTTTTTAACATAATTTTGTAATATTTTCTTTTTTTTAATTTGATATTCTTCAAATGTTACATCAATTTCGAGATTTTTTTTTAAATAATATATTGATTTTATTTCATCTATACTATTAATAACATTGTTGCAATGATATGATTGACTTTTACATTTTTTTGAAAGTTTTTCTAACTGTAATTTTATCCAACCCAACATCTCAATATGATATATAAGAGATTTAGGTATAATCTGTATAATAAATATAAATAACATATATGTGTGAAGAATATAAATTTTTTTTAAATAAAAATTTTAATATTTTAAATTACCTTTAATGTTAAACTAGCTGTTATATAGTTAACAATTTGTATACAACAATATAATAAAACATCATCCTCTAAAAAATTTAATATCTTCGTTACGTTTTCAAAATTCCTATAAAATCAAAAATTTTTTTCATTCAAAATCAAAATTTTTTTTAATAATTTCTGGAATTGCTACAATTTATATTTTTTATTTAAAAAACCTTACCCTCTAATTAAATAATAATTTACACAAGATGAAAATGCTTTTTTTCTTGAAAATAAATCATTTTTAGTTATTTGTTGAATATCAGAAATCATATTATCATGATTTTCTTTTATTATTCGGTATATTAATTTCTGCAAAAATTTAAACATTAATAAAATATTTAAAATGCAATTCTTTTTTTTCTATAAAAAATTAATAAAGTTTACTAACATTATTTATACCAATGCGTTCATATCCATATTTCTTTAAAATAAGCTTAACTGGAACAAAGTTATGTTCTATTCTAATTTGAGATGTTAAAATATGATCAAAATCATAACTTGTTTCTATTAGAGATACAATAGTTGATGTCCATGGAACTACAGCTTTTTTTAATACTTCTAATATTTGCTGTAATTTAGTCTGCAAAATAGACAAATTTATATAAATTATATTATATTTCAACTTAATACATAATTTCTTTAGTTTTATATACCTCTATATCTTGAATTAAATCAATAATAATAACAATTTTTTTTTCCCAGGGAGCTTCCTCTCCTGACCACCAATTTTTAGAATTTTTTAGAGTTTTCTATAAAAACATAATTATTTATCAATATATAATATAATTTTAATAATTTTAATTAAAGCATACCTGTACATATGAAGAAAAAATATAATCACTTTGTAGAGAATTATTCAACATATATTGTTTAAAAAATGTATTCACAAATTCTAGAATTATATTTATATGTATTTTATCTAATAATATGTATGATACTTCTATAGGATCTCCAATATATGAATTAAGAGATATTATTAATCTACAATTTTTATTTCTTATATTAGTTTAATACTATTTTGAATAATTAAAAAATTGTAATACATATTACCTATAATTAACTTTCAATTTTTGAATATCAGATAATATTTGTATTAAAGAAATAAACTGTTTTAAATTAGTATCTTTGTTTAAACATTCCTGTTGAAAGTATAAAGATTGATGACTTTCTTGAAATTTCAACAACTTTATAAACTTTTTTGTAAAATCAATTCCAATTTGAGGCCATTCTGAACGATAAGACTGTTCAAATGATTTAACTTTTTTATAACCCCAGACAATAATTTCAGATATTGCATTAGGAATAAATGACAATATACTGGGAATAAAATGTGATAACCACATCCAAAGGGAAAGAAAGGGTATCTTTTCAGGAAGAATTCCAAATATATCCTTTACAATTTCTATAGATATATCTTTCATTATATTTACAAGATGTCTCGTCCAAATTAAAGTAGCTGCTTCCATTTCTCCCTATAATAAAAAATTTAATTCAGAATTTATAATTAAATTCATTATAAGTTTACTTTGTACCAAGCTCAAATATATTTTATATTCTTCTATTAAATCCGCTCGAGAAAATCTAATCCATTCTTTCATAGTATCTTCATCATAATATTTTAAATTTCTTTGATATCCCCAAATCATATGAAAAGTTTCTAATTTTTGCAATGTACTATTAATTGAAGAAAGAAGATACAAATAATTATTTTTCTAAAATCAATATATAATAATATATATATAACATAAATATTATTAATATAAAATATAAAAAATATAAAATTAATTTTTTACTTACAGAGATATTTTCTACTATTCTTGAACGTGCATATAAATAAATTTTTTTCATTTGTTTATAATCAGGTATAAATGCTTTATTACAACATTCTACAATATATTGTACATTTTTTATTTTATCAAATATATTAAGAATCATATCTAATTGAAAAGAATTGGACTTTTCTTTTGTCCAAGGTCCAAATTGTGACAAAAGCAATGCAATCTTTGCATAATAAATAGGATCTGTAGATAAGTTAAATTTTTTTGCAAAAAATTCAGCTGCATCAAATTGTTCTTTTCTTATTAAGCGTTGTAATTGATATTCAGGATCACTTTCTGATATAGTTTTTATTTTAACTGTATCTATATAATTATTAGTATCATTATTAGAGTTATTAATTCCTTCTAGATATAAAATTACTTCATCACAAGGATCCATAATTTCAACAAGATGTGTTATAGTTGGTATATTTATTTGAAACTTTTTTTGAAAATCTAAATAAAATGAAATAAATATATAATCAATATAATAAAAAAAATTATAAACATATAATTAAACATATAAAATTGTTATGTTTTTATACCTGGATATGAGAGAACTTGTAATGTATATTCAATGCAATTATTATCAAACATTAACACAAGAATCTGACATAAAGTATTATCATTATTTTCAATAATTACAAAATCTGATACAGGTTTTGAATATACTTTTAGAGCAAGTAAAGTTTGAGGACACATTAAGTTTAATATATAATCTGAACGTAAACATAACATTGCACTAAAATAAAATTATCAAAATTAATATTCATTATTAACAATTATTATACTAACTAAATAAATACTTAACTAAATAAATAAATAATAGTATAATAATAATAAATGAAATAATAAAATAAATAATTTTATTAATTAAAAATTTTATAAATACTTACATGTAATTTTTAAAAAATTTTATTTTGATATAATTATAATGTAATGTATTAAAATT